AATACTGATTTTTGGAAAATCAGATGTGGTCGCTGAGGTTTTTAGGCAAGGCAAAAGTAAATGTGCTCAATATTGCACAGCTATTGGTAGAAAGAAGCCTGGAAAGCACTCACCCTGGGTTAAAGCTTAAAGGACCCCCCAATAACCTAGTAATAGACATAAGTGACATTTAATTTACTATATACTTTCAAACTGAATGCAAAAATTCATGATATACAAAGCATTTCAAATACAAGTTTTCAAACAGACAGTCTTGATTTCTTTTATTTTTTTGAGTCCAGTAAATCTTGGTACAACATGAGGTGATGGGAAGCCAGAACCTGAATGCTGTCTGTCTGAACTCAGAACATAAGCTTATGAACATTATTTGCCAATGATTTTCAGGATATGGAAGACAAAAAGGGTCAAGTATAACTTAAAGCATGCATGAGTCATGACAAAGGGATCACGTAAGCAGAGGACCTGGTTCTCCAGGGCAAAAGCAGAGCAAATGACTAATTTGATTCCACTTAGACTCATGTATGGAGTTCTGATTCAAAAGAGAAGGTGAATAAAGAACTTTTAAAAATGTAAACTTCTCTTGGCCTTTCTTTATTCTCTTGGCAATATTTTTATCAGTGCAAAAAATCCAATTCATGGCCATAATGACATGATACTTTTTTTCTTGATTGCAATGGTAGAGTTTAATATTTTAAAAACTTGGGATGAAATTTAAACTGACTTTAATGCTAAAAAACACTTTTTATCTCATAAACAGAACTGCTGTTAGTATGGTGATTCCAAAACTGTATAATAATGTACCTCAGAAATATCTACATGGATTCAAAATGTTTCATTCTTTAACCATTCACTTTCTGAATGTGTCCAGTGACCTCCTGTCCTACAGCAGCTCAAACATGTTCACCTGGAATAAAGTCTTATTTTTTAAAAAGTAATTTTTATGGGGCTGGAGAGATGGCTTAGGGGTTAAGAACACTGACTGTTGTTGCAGAGGACCCAAGTTCAAATCTCAGCACCCATATGGCCGCTAAAAACTGTCCAACTGTCCATAACTACAGTTCCAGGGGATCCAACAGGCTCTTCTGTACTCCAAGGGCATTGCACAACTCATGTGCATTTACTTACATGCAGGCACTCATACACTTAAAATAAAAATAATAAAAACCATTTCTAAAAATTATTTTGTTATTTAATGTGTGTGATGTAAGTGCACATGTGTGCACTGTGGAGGACAGAAGAAGACAGCGGATCCCCATGGAACGGGGGTCAGGGATGGTGCTGAGAACCAAACCTAGGTCCTTTGTAAGAGAAGCCAGTGCCCTTAACTACTGATCCAGCTCTCTAGTTCCCTTGTTCTGATTTTTAAGAGCAAGAAAGCCCCTCCTAGATGATGCTCATCCAAAATAATATCACTGAACCAGCTGTGGGCCCATATTTTTATTTTTGATGGTTTGATAGCAGACAGCATATTTGTTGACTCCTATGCTAGAAGCCTAAGCATGGGTACAAAGCCTGGTTCCATCACTTTCCGGCAATTTAAGTACTGTGTAATTCGGTTTTCCTGTATTTAAAAAAGAAATATAAAATATATACTTCCTTGGGATAAAGATAGAAAAAAGGGGAATTAATATGAGTAAAGTAATTAGAATGACTTGAAATATTATTATTTTTATGCTAATTCTCATTGTTGGGTGTGTAATGTAACTCACTGAAAATTGAAAGATAAGAAATTATCTGAATATCTCTTTTGAAAGGGCATCAATCAATACAACTTTTAATTGTTCTGTATAATAGTTTTCCTAATGATAGTTTGGACACAATGTCTGAATAAAGAGAAAATCAATTTCATGTTCTATGTTACTTAAATATATGCATGTTTAAGTTTTTAAAGAAGTTATCTACATGGCTGCAACTCAGAGCCTAGCCTCAACCCAGGAAACTTGCAAACATTCTGGCCTGACTGTATTTTACACTTAGAGCTGCTAAGTACTTCTAATGTGTTTAAATCCTATGAATAATTAAATTGATTCCTATATTGCTGCATTTTATTGTGAAGTCCCGAAGTCACCAATTAGAAGGGGAATGTGGAAACAGTCTCAGCCTATTCTAGTCATTTAAATATCATATTCAGCATTCTTCTACTAGGTGTAAATATCAGTGTTGAAAGTGCCTTTGGCAGTACAAGGTCAAGCCAAGTCCTTATGTATAATTATTTTAAATCTCTCAATTGCAATTAAAAATTCAACTTCATTTCCTTTTACTAAAGTTCAACCTCACCATTCCTACCACTATTTTTTTGCTCAAATGAAAAATCACAAGAATACAGCAAAATAATGTTGAAAGAGTAGATGTGTAATACCAATGGTTCAGAGAAGTCATCTTCTCAAACACTAGCTTTTTAAACTTTGGTGTTATTGTACAGACTTTGAACTCCTCCATTGCACTAGAGTACATGAAATTAAAAGTTTAGCCAAGAATATTCCTTTTCCTATCATTTTTCTCTCTCTGTGGATTATACTCATTGCCATCAGCAACTAAAAATTATTCTTCCCACATAAATAATGATGAAATCAGGGGCTTCAGAGATGACTCAGCAATTAAGAACCCGGGTTCCCAGCACTCACATAGTGGCTAACAACCATCAGTAACTATAGTTCCAGGAGATCCGACACCCTCTTCTGGCATCTGTAGGCATTGCAACATATGGTATTCTTGCATACATGCTGCCAAGACATTCATACTCACAAAATTTAAAAAAAAAATAATAATGCTGGTGACTAAAGAAAATAAACTTGGATCCAAGTCCTGGGTTCCCAGCACTCACATAGTGGCTAACAACCATCAGTCACTATAGTTCCAGGGGATCCGACACCCTCTTCTGGCATCTGTAGGCATTGCAACATATGGTATTCTTGCATACATGCTGCCAAGACATTCATACTCACAAAATTTAAAAAAAAAATAATAATGCTGGTGACTAAAGAAAATAAACTTGGATCCAAGTCCCTCTTCATAATTTGCCTTTTCTTAATTATTGGCATTAAATGTATTTACTGCCCCTGAATTTCTCCCATTATTTCTTGAATACACCCTTGAAATTCCATGTGGAAAACCACCACTGATATTCTCAACATTCAATCTGAACATCTGTCCATCCTGTCTTCACCTTTCGTGCCCAAAGAGTATCACTTGCCACACTATCACTCTAGTCCCAATTGATTTCTGTGAGGTCAAGTGCTTCAGTCTCCTGATTCTTTTCTGCTTCTCTCTTGTTCTCTCTCTTTCCTTCCCCCAAGATTCCTTCCTCCTTAGCCATCATTTCTGGTTTATCCCATCTCTCTGGTGTATTTCTCTTTCTTCTAAATACCACAGTCTGAGTCTCCTCTCTTGGTGATGTCATTGAATGCCATGGCTTTGATTACCTTCCATCCTTGTTGGACCTCCAAGTTCCTACATTCAAGTACAACTTGTCTTTTATAGACCAAATTGGATTACAAATGCCTAAACCTCTTTTTGATAAAAATGTGAAAAGTTTAAATCTCGAATTTTCTGCTTTACTGTTTCCTCAAACCAAACAACAATAAAGCCAACTGAGCTTTTCTCTAGATCTCCCCCATCCAGTAGATGCCATTTCTCTTTCTTTCTCTCTCTCTCTCTCTCTCTCTCTCTCTCTCTCTCTCTCTCCCTTTCAAGTCATGAGATTATCCTGGAGTTTTTTACTCTCACATTTCACAGCAAGAGGAAAAGAATTTACACATATAACATTAATTGTATCACTGCAGCACATCAGAAACCAGATGTCATATCCCATGCACTGTTACCACCCTGGGAAACATCACTATCTTTTTTTTTTATTTTTACAAAAACTTTATTCAGAATTTCATACATGTATATAAGGTGTTCTGATCAATCCATGCCCACTCCCTCCCCTCTAACATTCCTCCCTAAAATCTTTTAAGGATTAGATACAAGCTCCCAAATACTTTTGGTATTTTTGGCCTTGGAACAGAGTATGTTGCTAACAGGTCCAAGGACATTTTGACTTTTAGCCAAGAAAACTGGCTACATTTCTTTGGGGTCTTTTTACCCTAAAAACTATCTCCTTTGGTGTCTCACTGTCTGCCTGTTTGCAGTCTGGCATCACTTTAATCCTCAACACAGAAAAGAAAAAGTCAAACATTCCGTTGTTCTGCTCAATGACTTCATGTAACAATCAGAGCAAAAGTCTGATTTTGGAGTATTGAACCTTTAAATGATGCAATACATTGATTAAATTATGAACTCTTAAAAATATCAAAGAGTGGACCGGGCCCAGCACTCGGGAGGCAGAGGCAGGCAGATCTTTGTGAGTTCAAGGCCAGCTGGCTCTACATAGTGAGTTCCAGGACAGCTGGAGCTACAGTGAGACCCTGTCTCAAAAAGATAAAAGAAAGAAATTGTTTGAAAAGCTAAAATCATTGAATCCCCTGAAACTGGAGTTATAGACTGTTGTTAGTTGCTATGTGGGTGCTGGGAACAGAACCATTGCTCTCCAAGAGTAGCCGGTGCTTTTAAGGGCTGAGCCATCTCTTCAGTGCCCCATTCCCAATTTTAGCTGTCTCCCACACTCTTATTTATAAGCATCACGAAATAAATTCATTTATTCTTTTTTGGTGATTCAGTAATGTTTGGTACCAAATGTGTTAAATTACTTTTGGGGTTTTTTTTTGAGACAGGTTCTTTGGGTACCACTAGCTGGTCTTGGCCTTGTTATGCTATGCCAGGCTGTTCTCTATCTCACAGAGAACCTCCTGCCTCTGCCTCCTGATTACTGGGATTCAAAGCATGTATTACTATGTATGGTTCAAATGATTTCTTTGTAATAGAATACACATATGTACTGTAGTAGGATAGAGTTTGTATTTCTGGATGAAAAAATGTAGCCTAGAGATACTTAAATTCGTCAAAAATAGATTTTCTTAAGTTGTTTGGCAATAACTGAAAATTTTCATGTCTTTTAGCAAGCTCCATTGCCAAGATTGGCTCAGATCCTCTAAAATTTGTAAATGATGCTGTGGAGGAAACCACGGACTGGATCTATGGCTTCTTTTCTTTTTTGTCTGACGTCATCTCATCTGATGGTGATGAAGACGATGATGATGCAGACGAGGACATTGATAAAGGTACAGAGAGAACAGAGCTCTATCCAACTGCCAGAGACAGTAGTAGATATTACAGCAGTGGCTTGCTTAGGTTTTAGCTCAAATGAGCACTTGGGTAAGCTAAACCAAAATGAATACACTTCTGAGTATGAAAAATACTTCAATAAGCTGCCAAATGGAGTAAATTGTTCTCTATTTGGTTTTAATTTTATAGTTTATCTGCCATTATGGAAAAGATATCAAGATTAAATGGTACCATTAGAGTAGCATTATAGCAGAAAGAGTCTTATTATACACAACTATAAAACCACAATTGATACTCATACTGATGTGTTTATTTGAGGGAAAAGTAACAATTTTTCAAGTTTATCTCTAGGAGGATTGAAATAAAAACAGTAAAAGCAAGAAACATGTAAATGTTTTATAAATGTAAGTCACAGTCATAGTCAACTAGCAAATAACCAATCTTAATAAAAGCACAATCACAAGAATATTTTGACTGAACCAAGTGAAGATATAGACAGGAAAGACAAATGTGTAAAAAGTATACTGGTCACTCAGATACACTAGTAAATAAAATAAATAGAAACAAATCAAGCTATACATAAGCTGACATTGAGTGAATATATAAAGAACAAAGTTTGATGATTTGGTCTGTTAAATGACATTTTTATTGGGGTCAATCTTATTCATCTAAGATTATCCATTCTGTCTTATTTAACAGGAAAAGTCTTAGCATTAGATCCCCTTCTATAGATCCCCTTCTATGACTTTGCCTTAATTTATTTGTTTTGGTCCCAGTGTGAAGTCACAGTGAACAAGAGAAAATTGAAATTAATATGATATATGGGCTATAATGCATAATTTGGACCACTGCCACAATTTTATTGAACTCATAAAATGAAACCATGCTAAATTTATACACTGGAATCTAGGAAGCAAAGTCATGTAGGAATCATGATTGTTGCAAACAATTTATTCCAAACAAATGAGTAAAAGAAAAATGAGTAAATGGTGAAACCATATTGTGCTTTGCTAAATGTTTTTCTAATCAAGTATTTTTTTTTCTTGGTTTAGGAGAAATAGAGGAGCCTCCTTTGAAAAAAAAAGGTTTGTTTTTTCACCTTTAAAACCTATTTTTCTTTTATTATAGTGTTGACTTTGAGCATGAAACAGACTCTTTTGTCTTGTATTTTCTCTTTAATATATTTCAAATATGGAGATTGTTTAGTGATAAGAGCAAGCAGCTTATACTTAGGAAGAGCTACTAAACTTCCTGTGACTGTTTTTCTGTTTATTGAGTGAATGCCTCCTTCAGCAGATCTGTGAATCTGTATGCAAATACAGGCCAGTGTGAACTGAGATTTTATCACTAAGGGGAAGTCTTTAGCTGGGAAAAGAGTTCAGAAGCTGATGGTGCCCATAATGTTTATTTTTCCTATCAGCAGATTTATTGGCTTTAGATTTTTATTTTACTATCAAGTTTTGCAGCTCAGTGCAGATAGTGATAAACAATAGCCACCATATGTGGAACAAAATGCTCCTGGGGGCAAAGACATACCAGCCAGTGGGTCATTCTCAGGGAGAGACGTTGCCTTGGGTGCTTGGGTGGGGTACAGAGGGATTCCTTGTAGGGAAATCTCTGGATTTTACTGACTGATCTTGGTTTGGAGCAGTATGCCTGGGGAAAAAGTGGTATACCTTTGGTCTAAGTGCTTCAAAGGACCAGAGATTGTTACAGAAAAGGGTGATCCATCTCTGGAAGGGTGATGGGAAGCAAGGCTACTATCCTGAGGGGCATTTGGGGTGAGTGAAAACTAGCCACCATCCTATACTATTGTGATGTTTTTGGTGCTGCTACACATTCTTATTGGCAAGTACTTGAGTTTTCTACTCTGGGGAACATACTCTGCCAAGTCTACTGTTGGGTTCCATGTGAGGTCCAGTTGATCCAAGGGATCCAATCCAACATTACCTACCTGTGACTGAGCAGATGGTGACTCACCCACTAGCTGGAGGAAAATTTGTATTTGCAATTTCTACAATAACAAAAGAAGAGAACTCATGCTTCTCTGATGTGGTGAAGCTGTCTTGAAGAGAGTGTGTATATAAAGTGTTTATAACATGGAGAGGAAGCACGTGTATCCTGGCTATAAAGGGAGCATGAAAACTCCTGTCAGAATCCATACATTAAGTAAAGGTTTTGAAGCTCTAGATATGTATGTAAACGTCTTAAGGACAAAATAGGGTGTTTTTATACCTGATCTTCAACATATATTGAGTAGGATACAAACTGTATGCTACTGAACTGTTAAAGAATAAGTTTATAAAGAAAATATTTAATGTTTAGAAAACATCAATTAATTTTTAAAAGGAATATAGTGATTTTACTATATTTCATTTTACATTTTTTTTGTAAAACTTGGGGGTAATCAACAGCTACTTATTTGGATTTAAAGTCCACTCCACCTACTTAATTGGACTTAAAGTCCATTCAGTGAGAAGAAACTCATGTGTGGTACAGTAAACACAGCCAAATACAATGGCTGGAGAGGTCATAGATCTTAGCAAAACCCAACATCCCTAGACAAATGTAATTTTATGGATTTTTTCTTAAGATGAGGGCTCTGGGGCTGGAGAGATGGCTCAGTGGTTAAGAACACTGGTTGTTCTTGCAGAAGACCCAGGTTCGAATCCCAGTACCCACATGGCAGCTATCAACTGTCTGTAACTCCACCCAGGGGATCCAGCAGCCTCTTCTCACCTATGTGGGCATTGCATGGCATGGGTGCACTTACCTACATGCAGGCAATACACACATACATATAAAATAAAAATAATAAATAAAAGTTTTTTTAAAAGCTAAGAAAATGATGAGCACTCATTTAGCCCAGGCTAGCCTTGAACCGACTATGCAGCTGAGGAATATCTTAAGCTCCTAATAGTCCTACCTCTACTGCCGTTGTGCTGAGATTACAGGCCTGTGCCACACTCTCTGCTAACCTCAATTTCATTTTGAATGTCAATATTTGCAACAGTCTTTAAATTCTATTGCTTACAACTTTTAACTAGTGAAAACTTTGATTACTGTCTCCAAATGTGGTAGGAAATGCAGTTTTCAAAAATGTTCTAACAAAATGAAAATGACAACAAACCATGAAGTTGACTATTGCAGCATATGAATATTTGGCTTCCTGGATAACCCTAGAGTTCTGAGAGAGAGAGCAAATCAAAGAAGTCCCATTCTCCACCAAGCCATGAGATCTGTCCTTGTACAGTCACTATACATACCTTATCTCTGCTGCAATTAAACTCAGTCATCAAATTTAAGTTTCAGTTGTGCTTTTTCAGAAGTTTTCAACATGCTAAACAGTGTGCTAGGTGGAATAGATCATTTGTATCTTTGCTTACAATATTTTCAAAGGCTTGTGAAGAAAGTTTATTAAAATAATTATAAATGACTGTATTAGTTACTTCTCTGTTAGTGTGATAAAACACTATGACCAAGACAACTTATACAAGAAAGGGTTTATTTGGGATTACAGTTCCAGAGGAATAAATGTTCAACATGGCAGAGGAGTGGGGAGTAGAGAAACAAAACTAGAAGTGGACAAAGCTCTGGACTCCCAGAGCCCGGCATCCATTGATGTGCGGTCTGCAGCAAGGCTGCACTTGGTGAGGGCAACATGGCCTTCCCCAAACAGCACCACTAACTGACCAAGTATTTAAAAACCTGAACGTGTGGGGGATAATTCCTTCAAACCATCGTAATGAGCATAATGGAAATTTCACGTGATATTGCAAAAACAGAAAATTATACCTTACTAATATCAATATCTCTGTAACATGGTATATCTTAGGCAAATTATTAACAAATGACACAAAAGTAGCACTTTATTTCTTAAAATATTGTGGTGGTGCATGCCTGTAGTTCCAGCACTTGGGAGGCAGAGGCAGGAGGATCTCTGTGAGTTCAAGGCCAGCCTGGTCTACATAGTGAGTTCCAGGCCAGCTGGGGCTACAGGGAGACCCTGTTTCAAAAAAAAAACAAAGAAAATAAAAAATCCTGATAATAACATGTTGAAGAGTTTGAATAAATGAGTAAAGTAGACAGTAATGAGACAGAACAGTTACTGCTGCATGGTTTACATTGCTGAGGGTGAGTATTTAAATGAGTAAACTATTTTTAGACAAATAAAGTTTAACATTTTTAATTGCTCATAAATTCCCCAAGTCCAAGTTGAAACCATGCTCAGTGATACAGGTATGGAGAAGAGGGAGAGAGAATGGGGGCAGGGGGTGTCTGGAGACAAAAGGCATTGGCAGCTTAGTAATTTTCTGTATTTTTTTAAAAAATGAAAAATTGGCTTATTATAAAATTAATAGGATTGGTTCAATTTTCATATTAATATTTAAAGTTTCACTGACCAGATTAGGTAAATAGTCACAAAAATATAATTCTTTAGAATTTTTTTACTAACACTTCTAAGTGCAATATAATGGATATACTTATCTCCTTTTTACAGTTCATTCTTACTTAAACCTTTATCTATAATAAGTCTGCATATAAGAATAATCATTACACCATTTATGTCCTTTCAAATATGTAATTTTAGAAGATAATGGTAGTCTTTTAACAAGAAATTTTGTTTTATAATGCCTTCCCCTGACATCTAGCTTTAAAGTTAAGAAAGAATAATTATGGTCTTTCAGAGCTAGGCACACTCAGATTTTGTAAAGGAAAAACTGGCCTTCAATTTTAGAGGCACAGTGACCTTACAAGTTATACACTTATCTCTCACCTTCCAGTCAAGTACCAGAAACCCTCAAAGTTCTGTTTAATTTCCTTGCCTCCTATATTGGTTACATTCTTGTTGGCTTTTGTGACCAAACAACTAACAAGAAGCAGCTTAAGAAAGGAAGGGTTTGTTCTGGCTTTAGTTTGAGGGGATTCAGTGCATCATGGCAGGGAAGGAGGGGACAGAATTAGTCTGAGACAGCTGGTCACATTGCATCCACAGTCAGGAAGCAGAGACAGATTGTCTGTGCTCAGCTCACTTCTTCCTTTTTAGTCAGCATGTGACCACAGCTCATTGGATGGGGCCATCTATATTCAGGCTGAGTCTTCCCTGTTCCATTAGGCCTTTCCAGAAACACTCTTATACAGATACCCAGAGGTAGGTTTCAATAGTGATTCTAAAACCAGTAAAGGTGGAGAACTGTGCTTAAGATGACCAAGACAGCAACATAAAACCTGGTATCCTGTGAAGTTGTACTTGGAGAATGTTAACAGCAGAGGAACAAAGACACCCTTGGATTTAGAACAAACAAATTAAATTCTCTCTGTAGTTGTGAATCCAACTTGTCCTAAATCTCCTCAGATTGAAAAGAGCTATCCAAGAGACTGAGCTCAGTTCTTTCACTGTGAATTTTTCTTACTTTATTGAAATTCATAATAATTCTTTGCAGTCAGAGTAAATGAAGAAATTCCAGAAAATCTGAACATCATAAATATTCAAGGCCCTATTAGGGTTAGACTATTTGGAAGGTTACATCACTTTATTGGTAGTTCACATGGGTGGACAAGGTCATGTGCCAGAGTGTTTATTAAACCCATCTTTATTGCTAGGTTCTGAGTTTTATACCAGGATGAACATTAAATGTTGAAAAATCTCATGCACAAGAAAAGGAGGGAGTATATAAAAGTGATTAAACTAGTTGAAATATTGTCAGAATATTGTTACTAAGTACACCTAGTAACATTGTGAAATATATACTGATATATCAAAGCTCAGTTGTGTAGTGCTGCATATTACCCCTTTGTCTGCTTGTAGAACTTGCTGCTGTAGCTGTTTCTGGTATTTTGAAACACTGATGTGGTCCATAACTACAGGAAGACAAAGACCAGAGTGCAGGTTGCAGGTGGCTCAAGAAGGAAAGAGGTGGGGGAAGTTGAGGCAAGAGAATCTCTGACAAATTATCCAGTCATCCCCCCAGGTACTTTCTCTTGTGAGCTTGTTGTGTCAGACTCAAGGGATGGCTTTATTATTTTGTGTGAAAAAACAAAATCCAATTAAAATTTACTTTAAAAAAGGCTCCTTCATTGGAAC